CATCTCTCTGTTCTTTATTTTGGAATCTATACCATAAAACGGGCAAGCCGAGCCTTCAGCCACTGAGATAGGCTTAGGATTTTGGAATGACTGGAAAGATGAGGGCTCCTCCTTGATCCCTTGTTCAAAATAAATCAGGAAATCAATAAAGGACTGTATGCTGGCGAGCTAGACAGCCTTTTCAAATGAAGTTAGGTGAGGATATTCACAATTAACACAATTCACAATAATCATATTAGAAATTCCCTTTACGTGGCCCGGGCAGTCCTTATTGTTGAGCCTGGTTTGTTGTCGGCAGTGACTGTTTTTAAAGCTGACCATCTGCAGACACAAGATACTTTAACATCCACCTGATTGCATTTGTTCAAGTGCAATTTTTGTATTAATTAATTACCAACTTACAATACACTGGTTACTATTATATATGTATATTTTATGAGCTGTCTGAGTGTTAGCATTGAGGGCAAAACACAATGATTTGTCCTTTCAGATTAAATGAATTTATTCACTTAAGTATTTGAATCATGTTCTCCTCTATCTTTAAAATGTAAGATAAACAGAGACAAAGACACCTTATTTCTTGATTTCAATGTGTCGACATAATGTCTAAAGGAAGGACAGAACGTATTTATGTTGCCTTTACATTCATATTCTAATGCATGTATCATGGGATTGTCTTGTTAGAGTATCAGGGAGGTTTGTTGTCTTTCTCCTCAGTCAGTTTTGATATTCAGAACATAATAACTGCTGACTAAGAAGGTCACAGATAAGTCTTAAACCTGCTGACATAACAGGGGAGCGAAAATGTCAAACCGGTTTGATTTTTAGAACCAAAGTGCTTTCGGTTTGTTACACAGAAACATCTGGGAGGTTGTCCTTGGGAACTGTTTGGGAAAGGGCATGCACATGCAGGTGAATGGATGAACAACCTGTCTATCGTCTTTCATGGTCAAACTTCAATCAATCAGATCAATGAACCATATAACATAGTCAAACTCTTACGGTCGGGAGAAGAGCGAAAACATCTTTTACATCAAGAAAATCCTCCAGTGCTGTTTGTTGGTCTTCTTTCAATGAAGAAATACTCTCTGGTTCTGATATAACTGATGCCAGCAGCATCTATGCTAACCTCTTTAGGAGCCTTTGTTTTTTTAAACAACAGCTGCTAGTAGTTCCTTAAAGGTTGGTCGTAACCACTGTGGTTAAACGCATAGCTTGAAATCTGGTAAGATGGATTCTTGCATGATTTTGTGCAAGTCCAGCTGCCTCACAAGGTAAAAGCAGAGCAGAAACAGACAAAAATCAAGTCCCCCAGAGGAAAAACTAAAACTATGCACCAGAAACGATGAAGTCTGCGGGTTCGAACTGACAAACTGATGCTTTCACTCGTGGAGCCAAAGAAGAAACGTGGAGGTGATTGAGAGAGTTTGTGCAGGAGACGTAGACACAGTTGGACTGAGCAGAAAATGATCACTGTCTTTATGTGTGCGTTATCTCAAAATCTGGCTTCACTTAGTAAAAGCCTCCCTGGGTGAATATTTCTTTTCTTTTACATACAGAATCAGATAAAACTTGACTTACACTGCCAGAGAACATCCAGTACAACAATACAATTAAAACAACCAGACAAGCCAGACGTTGTAGCTAATTCAATAGTTCTGTTTGCTTTGCTTCACAGTGTTACATCACTGTACACTATCACATCACTTTGTTTAGTGATTAAATATTGATTAGCTCCATGTAGGTACGATTTTCTGTTTCTGTTATGTCCCAAGCAACAACCTTTGTAACAAAGGATTTCTTAAATTGTATTTTATTTGACTCTGTGTTTCTGCAGCTTGTTACACTCACAGCCCTCCACCCTTCAGAGTCCCTGGAGGACGGCACTTGAGCCTGGAGGAACCACAACATCTTATAGTGGGTGTAACACTATAGACTACATACGCCCTCCTTCACATACAGGACTCCAGTGTATATGTACTATAGGAATGCAGTCATCATGGTAAAGCACCTCAAAGATCCATCCTGTAGAAGTCTGTTTCAAATGACTGTCTGAGGTTTCTCTTCTCTCAATTATTAGTTTTTCTATCCTTCCATCATCGCTCCTCTCTCTGGGTTCCTCTCTAAGAACTCTGACTGTGATATCAGACAATGTCAGTGTCACCTCAACAAACAACAACAAATCCCCTTTTATTAGTTTCTTTCACATTTCTCTCTTCCACACCAATTTATCCTTCCTTTACATTCTACCCGCAATCTCTCTTTTTTGTCACACAGCTCTGCTCTCTTACCTCGTCCTCCACCTTAACTTTAATTCCATTCACGCAGTGGGTGCTTTATTGGCGTGTCTGTCAATGGGCATTTTTTGCTAAACCAGTAGAAACTAACAAATAAATCTGGCTTTGGTAATATAATGAAAATGCTGAAAGCTGCTCTGCCTAGAGTCGCTCCGCCAGGATTAATAAAAGTGTGTAATAAAAACGGAGGTCTTTTTGAAAAAGGTGGTGAAACTGTGGATATTTGCTTATTTTGATTATTAATGTTTTTAAATGATGACAAATTAAATGCAATTCTCTGCACCCTGGAAAACCTGGATATTTAGAGACTAATTTTCCAGTCATAGAAACAGCTGAAAATTGTTTAAAATCACCCAATATATCTTGAAAATAATTTATGTTGACCTGGATATTTAAAATTATAATTTAGCCCCTAACTCAGATAAAGTATTAGCAGACGCAAAGCAGATTTGCAGCAATCTTTTCAGCGTCAAGTCTAATTTTTCCGTAGCCGTGAACATAATTATTATGGAAGCCCTGTGGAAATGGTAGACGGTCATATCTACATGCATACAGCCTATTAATGAACAAATTTGTTGTTGTGGTTGTTAAATATATACACAGCGATGGTCATTGTATGTCCAATGACAAACACTGCAAACACTTCCACTTTTTTAGAAGATGAATTTTCTGTAAAATCAGGTCAATTCTACTTGATTTGAACTAGAAGAATTAGAGCAAAACTGTAGTAAACTGTAGTCAATCTGCCGGAGACCACAGCGGAAAAAACTTTTGTTTTTTTGAAACTTTGAAAACTTTCCTCCGTTTCTCCTCTGTATCTTAATTCCTTGTGTTCCTCCTCAACCCCCTCTTACTGCTCTCTCATTCTCTTTCCCTCTCTCGATCCGTCCTCATCTCCCCAGAGGACTGTCTTTAACTCGAACCATACCACTGCGGCCCTCCATCCCACCTCTACAGTCCGGCCCAGTGTGGGACACACTCTCCATGTCAAACACATTTGTTTCTTACAGCTGTTTCCAAGCCATGAAATGACTGACAACACAAAAATTAAACATCTTACTGAGAATAATATTCAACAACTCAGCTTAACTGACAAAAGTACAACAGGTTTACAGTAGATCCTCTATGTTTCAGAGGGACTGTGTCTGCATTTCTAAACAGCTACTAACGAAACAAATTTCATTTTAAAGGCTGTTTCCAGAAACGGTGTCAGGATAATCCACAGACTGCCCTGGGAACAGTTTTCATTGGAAATTCCCTAAAAAATCTCCCCAATTAAAACTGTTCTGTGGATGTTCAGTGCCACAAATATGACTGAATAAAACCAAAAGCATCTTCATGGCTCGATAACAGAAGCTGTAATTGAGAAAATGTTTTTTGTATTTGGGTGAACCAAAAATGTAAGATTGATGGGGATTTTTCTTTTTTAAACAATGTCAAACATTTGTCACATTTTCAAACTTTTGGAGTTGAAGAGAATTTGTTTTACAGTGGACTGACAGTTGTTTTTTTGTTATTGTTAAAAAGGTCCAGTGTGTGGATCTATTGTCAGAAATGGAATATAATATTCATAGGTATGTTTTCAAAAGTTCATAAATTTACGGGGAACTTTAATTATTGTGATTATGGTGAATTGTGATAATGGTGAATATCCTTACATATGCAATGATGATGCAATAAATATATGTGTTTCTTAACTAAATGTAAGCTAAAATGATTTTAGTGCCATTTTAAGAGTACGGTAGTTGATGGGTAGTTTCCACCAAACTATCACTTGGATTTGGTTTTGGTTTGTTCACTGGTTAAACTGTGAAGTCACTGGTGTATTTTGGGCTGTACCAGCCCCAGCAGGCAGGGTTCAAAACTTTCCTTCCACACAACAGAAGAGATAAATCTAAAGATCAACACAACCAGTGCTTCTCTCAGAGTTAATGTCTAGCACATGAAATAATAA